GAATGGGACACTTGTATGTCCTATGCTGGGTTGGAGGTGCAGAAGCAAGTCTGCTGGATTTGTTGTTGTGCATGAATCAAGAAGCCACACTCCCTGCCAGGCTGTGATGATACCTGGGAAGCAGATGCTCTCTGTTCTGAGAAAGAGGATCCCTTCTTAGCCACACACTAGGTACTCCATAGCAACTCTTATTTCTCCAAAGAGGAGAAAAATCTTCTGGCTTTCCTCAGAGTAGTGAAAACACAAATGTATGAACCTTCAGTGAAATCTCACCAGAACTGGTATAAGGTCATCTGAATGACTTCTTTTTAGAACAGCACTTATTAAAATGTGGTGGGCATTAAGTAACACCGTTGTCTGTGCAGGAAACATTTGAAAAGAATATGTATTAGTCATCCCATTTACTGCTGTTTGCACACAGACAGAATGGTGATTAGAACTGGCTGAATCAAAGCAAAATGGTTCTTAAACAAGATTTCAAGAATTGGATTGGGCACTTGCTGGCCAGCAACTATTTTGGTCATCTTTGTGCATCTATTCCAGCAAGTGTCTTTTCAAAAGGTTGTTCTAGAAGAACATCAAAATCTTGGGGTGTATTTCCATGTGCTATGCTCTGAAGAAGTGGATGGGAATATCTTCCCTACAGCCTTACTTGCATCTGCTCAGGAAAAAAAAAAAACAATGTATTTGAACCACTGCTCATTTCTGAGCAGCCTTTCTGCTCAGCACTGAAGTTGCTATTAAACTTTAACTATGTGGAAGTTGAGAGTTAATAATGGTAATTTTTAAAACTTAAGTTTATTAAATCTGGACTGGCAAGCATTTTGTGTCACACACTGTTCTGATCACCTTCCCCTGCCTGGCAGTCACATTCTGCCCACCCTAGAGACAGAGGGCAGAGACTCCCCCTGTGCCCCTCTGCAACAAGGGGCTAAATTTGATGTTCTTGTGGGCCCAATGCTCACCTGGCAGCAGAGATGCTGGGATCTCTGCAGGTTTGCCCTTTTGGAGAAAATGCCTGCCCTTATCGACTAGGTCCTGTGCCTGCCCAGCCATGCTGGAATAGATGGGGAGTCATGTGCTGCTTATCAGTCACAGGAGGTGAGGAGATGTGTAACAGACGGGCCAAGGAAATAGCTGTTTGCTAGGGAGTGATTCCCCTCATTTCTCTAGGCATTTAAACAAAGGCCTGTCTTTAGGTACCTACACTCTTTCAGCAACCATTACATTTTTATGGTTTGTATGCTGCTTGTAAACCAGCTACAGGTGAGTAAAGCCTGTGGTCCAGAAATTGTTGAGTTGGAGATAAAACTGTTCCTTTCTGAGAGTGCCTGGAGTGTCTTGAAGAGACTGCATTTGAATTCCATATGGTTTTGTACCACTTATAAAATGCATTCATAGTAGGTGGTGGTATCAGTCTCCTCTTAGAGAATGCAGATATTTATATTATGCAAAAGGTTTTCTCACTTTGCTAGATTCAGATGATTGGAGATACCATTCTTGTTAGGTAAAAAACTGAGTCTGACTTTAGAGGTGAATTCAAAGAGCAATTTCTATTTAATATATATAGCAACAAATAGGAACAAAGCTGCTTAAGGAGTACTTTAATGATGAATCATTATATTGCTCTCACCAGTCTGAAAGGCAATAACAGCAAAAATGGAGTGCTAGGATGGAGTTGCTGAGAAAATGTACAGAAAGGGATATGTGTTGTTGAGTGGGTTTTACAACACATCAAAGGAATGTTTTGAGGTGCAAAATTATCAAGTGTCTTTCCACCCCAAAGATGAGGCAGCTGCTATCTATTGTTTATTGTTCCAGAAGCTCATTTTCTTTGGTTGTGACTAACCACATTTAATAGTTTATTGCTTTTTAAAAAAATCCTGATTCCCTCCACCCCCGGATCAGGACAGATGCTGTCATAATGCTTCTTCAATGCTATAATTTTTATTACCAATCCTAATTAAATGCTCTAACTTCTAAAAATCAGATTAATTTGAACCGTCAGCCCAGTGTAAATGCTGCTATCATCAGAGATCATAAAATGCTCAAGGCACCATAATTCTTCTACATAGCTGCAGTGGCAAGCGTCCAAGGATATGACTACCTTTGTTCAGCTGACATGGACTGAAATGTGAGCACTTCTGAGCAGTGCAGCATGAATAGAAATGATACATTCCTCAGCTGTTGAATTGCACATTTTAGCCATAAGTCAACAAACATTAGAGAAATGGCATCACCCCCCCCCCCCCCAATCACTATAATACTCCTCCCATGCTATAAATATTGTACGAATTCTGCACAATCGATAAAGGGGAAAATAGAGGTGGGAGGTTGTTGCACAGCAAAGCCGCACTTCAGTGGTGAGCCAGGACATGATACAAATCAGCCCACTGCCAACCAAGATTTTTTCATCCTTGGGCCACAGTCCATGAATTCAAGTTGCACAGTAACTGCTTCAGCTAATTTGCTCCACAGCCAGGACACACTCTGATCATCACTTTGGTTTTCTGGACAGCAGTACACATTCTGGTTCCTTTATGACCAATTTCTGTATTTTGACTTTTTTTTTCTCCTCCACAGGTATTGGGTAACAAGTAATAAATTCTGATTCCAGCTCAAGCAGTAGCAAAGTTGGTCTTCCTGCTCTGTCCCAGGTTTATTTGTTAGATGTGACAATATGGAAGATCTCACTGGTCATTACAGATATAATTACCTGGCTCTGACAGGCAGAATCTGACACTGCAGGCATTGGTGTTGAAGCTTCATGTTTAGATTTTCTTTGCAGCAGAGAAAAAAAGCACTCTGAGGGGACCATTACCCATGTCTACAGCAAGATGAGATGAATTGCAGGCTAGAAAAGCCCAGTCCTCTCGAGTCCCATGGGTGGAGCATGTGTGACTGACTCAGGGCTGGGAGTGGGGGTGGTGGCAGCAGCACCAGGTGAAATGAGCCCCAGCACAACAGCAGCTGGTCTCAGTCCACATTCAGCAAACTACCAGCCCCACCTGGGCTGCTCCAGGCATCTTTGAAGGGTTTAGTGGAGGATTTGACCCTGCAGGTTTAACTGTACCTTGCTGAATTGAGTGATTTTGTCAGTCCCTGTGATGGAGTGGGGCTATGAAGTGTATGCTGCTGTTTGGTCCTGAGCATCCCAAGAGCAGGTGCTGTTATAATTCTCCTCGCTGGGAGTAAATATTGCTACTTGGGTCTATAAACCATCTCTTTGATTGGGACTGCTGGTCATGCTTCCCCTTCCTGTTCAATAGCAGTTTTATCTACCAGACTTGTATGTTCCAGGCTTTACGGTGAAACCAAGAATTTTATGTTTGAGGTTTACCCAGCAGGCTTGTTTCAGACAAAATGTGGAATTTTGAGTGTGTTTTCATGCCAAGAATTGCAGAATTTGAACACAATTTTTCTTTTTCAGTATATGCGACATTCAGG